CCAGGTCTCAGTCTGATGACCTGTTAGCTAGGATCAGTACCAGGTCTCAGTCTGATGACCTGTTAGCTAGGATCAGTACCAGGTCTCAGTCTGATGACCTGTTAGCTAGGATCAGGACCAGGAGCAGCAAACAAAAGGACAAAAGTTGATCAGTGCGTCGTGACTCTCCGCCCTCGGTGGAGAGAAAGTCGTGGAACGCCCTCGGTGGAGAGAAAGTCGTGGAACGCCCTCGGTGGAGAGAAAGTCGTGGAACGCCCTCGGTGGAGACTAACCCTCCGTTGAGAGCTCCGACGAGCGTAGAGACAGGTGATTAAAGATTTATTGGACCAGAGTTACAAGCTTTACCTGCAGCTTTCTGGATTTATGAAAAACTACTGAACACAATGAAATAAATCATCATCCCATCAACAGCAGCGTGTAGACTCTCTGGAGCAGCTGGATTCATGATTCATTCAATATTATTAATATTACACTGAAAACAATCAGCTGACGTCCCCGAGATGTAATATACATATTAACCACTAGGAGCAGTGTAGAGCTGAGGAGGAGGAGAAGGAAGAGGAAGATTAGGAAGAGGAGGAGGAGGAGGAGGAAGAAGAGGAGGAGGAGGAGGAGGAGGAGGAGGAGGAGAGGAGGAGGAGGAAGAGGAGAGATGGAGGTGTTGTCGGTGTGTAGTCAGCCTCTCTTCTCAGTAAACGCTCCTCGCTCCTCTCTTCAGCCGCTCCTCGCTCCTCTCTTCAGCCGCTCCTCGCTCCTCTCTTCAGCCGCTCCTCGCTCCTCTCTTCAGCCGCTCCTCGCTCCTCGCTCCTCTCTTCAGCCGCTCCTCGCTCCTCTCTTCAGCCGCTCCTCGCTCCTCGCTCCTCTCTTCAGCCGCTCCTCGCTCCTCTCTTCAGCCGCTCCTCGCTCCTCTATTCAGCCGCTCCTCGCTCCTCTCTTCATTCGTTCGCCGCCTGCAGTCAGTCCTCGGGGTTTCAGTCTCTGAAGCGGCGAGGAGAAGTTTGTTTTGACTTTCACACGATTTGTGAAGCGAAGCTCGAAAATGAAAAAGTCTCTCGGGGTCACATGATGCCTTCCTGAGAGGAAGAGGAGTCAGAACAAATCTACTCGCCTCCTCGCTGAGGGAGCAGCGTCTCCTTTAACCCTTTCCTGTCCAAACCGTTCAAACAGAGTTTATGAACAGGAAGTACTAAAGACCGTCCAGAGCGTGCCAGCAGCGCCCAGTCGACTTCTGACGGAGCTCGCTGCAAGCACGTGTGACAAACAGAAATGTGTGTTCACATTATGTGATTTATTTTTGTGTATATTTCAATATGTAAATGTGTAATTGGGAGCATTAGTTCTGTTACTTTGTGTAAAATCTCATTTAGAGTGTGGTTCCAAATTGTGCCACAAGGAGGCGTAACCTCCAGGTGAGACAGCTTAGTGTGCTCGGTAGCCCTCGTCTTCAGACTGACAGAAGCGAGGAAAGGAAACACACCATGTTGCTTTGTCTCATTATTTCCCTGTTATTTACAGGTGAGTAAATGTCACAAATCACATACATGTGGTCTATATATTCTTCTATAGCATGTGGAAGGTAACGCCATCCTTTAGTGTGTGTCAGGATGTGTTTTCAATTTGTTTTGAAGGTTCTTTAGCTATGATGCTCATGAGCACTGGCTTAGCTCATCGCCACGTTCATATATGGACGCCACAGTATGTCTGTCATGACTTGCCCCTAGCTCCCATGCTCTTTTGCTAGTTTTGTAAAACTCCTGCATATCTCTTAAAGTAACCGTGGGTTTATGAAGACTGTTCGTTTTCATATTTTGTACTTCTATTCTTGTATAATGTGTAATGCTAACTCCGCTAGCTTCGCAGTTTCTCTATGGGATTTCCTATGTTATTTGTTAGCATAATGCTAAGAGAGGATTGATCTCCTCCTTTATGAACCTGTATGCAACTGTATTGCATTGATAAGAAGCTCTTAAGTAGCAGAACCAAATTATTTTATATTTGTTTAAAGAATGATAACACACAGAAACATTTATTTTGTAGTTTTGAGAACTTTTGCATGTTATATAAGATGAAGTATAAGTTTATGTAGTTTTGTGGATAAAATGTTGTTTTTGAAGAAAGAAATGAAAACCAAAATACAGTTTAAGTAAAACTGAAATACATAAACATATGTATAAAAATAAAGACTGACAGAAGTGAGGAAAGGAAACACACCACGTTGCTTTGTCTCATTATTTCCCTGTTATTTACAATCTGACAACAGTCCTCCATACGGGGCCTGTTACACACGCTTCAAGCTACACAGGATAGATCGACTCAGACAGGAAGTCAGACAAGGAAACACACAATGTGACTCCTTCAGAAACAGACTCATTAGGGAGCGCGCTGTCGGAGAAAAAATGGTGGAGACATAACCCTGCAGACGTGGATCCTATTGAAACCGCTAGCTATAAGGAAAGTGAGATTCTGGACCGGGTTGTTCTTAAGTAATCCAACACGGTTTAAACCGGGTTGTTGAAGGACAAAATATAGTTCAGTAGTTAGATCTATAACATGGAGATACACACTCAGCATTAACCTGCAAGAAGGAGCTAGCAATGCTAATGTTAGCCGCTCTGTTCGATTACCTGCAGATCAGTTTGAATAAACTGGGTTTGATTTCACTGCTTCTGAATGTTTTCTTATCTGTAGAAATATTATGTAAGAAAAAATATTATTATTTTCACTCATTGATCCATCTAATCAGGTCCACATGGATCCTGATTCTGGTTCAGCATTTGTTCAGATCTCTGTCTTGTGATCATCTTTCTCATGTTGTCTGAAACATGAAGAATATCTGACAGAACAAACTCTTTCTATCTGATGACGTCGTGCAGGTATCAGAGGGTTAATATCTGATTGTTATGGATCATGTGAACTCAGTGTCTCCTTTTCTCTCTCTCTAGCTCTACCTATCCGCCTCTCTCTCTCTCTCTTTGTTTCTGCAGCACGCCTTCATTAAGCTCGTTTACATTTACTCTCTATGTTCCTTCAGAGGAATGGAAAGTGACCTTTTCAGTTTGTGTCCACAACCTCAGGAAGATCTGAAAGGATTTATTAACAACCACATGGTGTACAGTTGGAGAGGAAAGTAGATGCTGTGTTTGCACAGGAAGCTGATGTGTGAGTAAGCGAGGAGTTTGTGCTCCTCTCGACATGTTTACTACACACAGTAAAACAGGGACACATGCAGGTCTCTGCCTGTCAGGCCGCGCTCAGGGAATCCTGCTCCTTTTGATTGATGAGAGGAGACTCGAGGCCGACTCCTGCAGGTTGAGTTTTTGTTCAAAGTGATAATCAGAGTATCGTTTTCTTTTCTTACGTCAGACGTTTCAACTCAGAGGAAAAGACGTCAGGGTTCTGTTTAATCCAGATCATAACACAATCTGTATCTGAATAAAGGTGTCACTGCGCTTTAGCACTGAAGGTCTTTGAGTGTAACTGCATCGCTGTAAAAAACACATAGCGCTGTAAGCTCCTCCCCCTCGTCGACAGCGTGCACCTGCTGACAACCAGAGGACGGAGAAGTCGACCAGAGAAACCAGAGAACCACGACGACTGACGAGGTTCAGGAATATAACAGGATTTAGCTCTGATTTTGGTAGCATCTACAGCCCGTTGTTAGCTAACTGTTAGCATGTGTATTTAACTGTTACCATGGCGACTACAGGCCATGCTTCAATGGCTACATTGAGAGAGGTTCATTTATTACATCATGTGTTGAAGGAGTCAGATGTTGTTCATTTAAACCTTCATTAGTGTGATGTAGGTGTGGTTATAGAAATATCTCAGGTTTTGGGGGAGGGGCCTAATGGAGAATAACAACCTGAGCCTGTGAGGGACAAAACAAGTTTGACTGGAACTATTTAATAATGCAGACAGTTCGGTGTGTGTCGTATCTGCAGGCTGAAGAAATCCACTTGAACATTTAGCCTCTAACAGGTGAACACAGAGCCCGGGGTGTAAACACTCCTGAGATCATAAACGTTCAGTAACAGCTGATGAGAGGAAACATGACGTCTGTTTCCAGCTGTCTGCTGAGAACAACACCACGCTACAGACGGCTGTATTCGTGCTAATGACGCCGTTTAGAGGAAGAGCGCGGCTTGTCGTCTCCAACAAAGACGCTGACAGGGAGATAAACGTGCCTTTGTTGTGCCCGCTCTGTTCACATGAAGATTTCTGACTTCAATGGAAAATGAATCCTTTGTTCTGTTTGTCTGGATACACAAATACGACAGCGAGGTGCGCCGCGGAGGACGCCACAGACGATTTTAATCTTTAAAAATCTTCATGCACAAGATTGAAAGACACAACTATTTACTGAAAATCTGACTAAGACAGGAGCAGGATGAAGATGAAGACTGAAGAAGAGGAGCAGGATGAAGATGATCAGACTTGTTTTGAATTGGCGCTATAATAATGATTGTACAGTACATGACCTTGTCTATTAATATTTCTCCATTTAAATCAACATCATGCTCAACACCTGATCAAAATCCTGCAGCTTACAAAGCAGCTCTTCATGCAGTGTGAGACACCGTACAGCTCCACACAAACACTCAGGCATTCACAGTCGTACAGAAATAGACAGGAGCTTCCGTTTTCTGCCTCCCACGCTTAAAGTCACTCTCTTGACTACGGCTTTCCCAAATCACACTTCCTGTTTGTCAAAGCCTTCAAACACGTTTTCCTCCAGCAGCTCTCTAAACGTCTCAGGACAGAGAACATGTGTTCTTTATCCTCGTTCATACAGATCTAAGAATCAGATCTATGAAACCCTGCACACACAGCAGAGCAGAAGAAGCTGATGATGATGATGATGATGATGATGATGATAAATCATCCTGCGAGCTTTTGTATCTCAGGAAACCAAGAAGAGCGAGTGAAAATGTTCCCTCTGATGATTTAATTTTTCAGCAGGAGGAGAAATCACCCAGCCGAGCAGAATGTTAAAGACATACCGTTGATGGTGGCTCTCTTCGGCAGGATGGTAATGGCGCCCACAGCGGCGTCCTCCAGCTGGTGGATGGGACTGTTCTTGGCCCCCCAGCTGTCAGAGCCGATCCACATGAAGTGACCCACCTGGTCCGCTCGTTTGCTGGCGTTCAGGATCCCCCTGGAGTCAGAAATCACAGACTCACTGAGTGAAGACTTTAGATGTGGCGGCCTCTAAAACCACTCAATGTTTATAATCATAAAAGTCTTTATTGAGATGAAGTGTGTATGTAGGAGTGAGCGTTTTACCTGATGTCCTCGTCTGAGGCAAACAGGATGACGGCGCGGGCGTACCGCGTGTCGAGCAGCAGGTGGATGATTTTATCAAAGTCGGACGGTTTGTGGTCGTGAGGGATCTTCAGAGACTGAGCGATACAGATCCCACCTGAGGACACACACAAACAGAAATCACTGCATCACACTCCATCCTGCACGGCGAGCTCCAGTGTTTCCTGTAGAGGAAGGTAAAACGAGTTCTTTATCGATCTGATCCTCCCTGACTGGAACCTTTTAGAAACATCTGTAAACGCTTCTTCAAAGAGTTGTTGCGAAAGCTTCAAGCAGCAGAAAAGTTGCTGCAATCACAGAAGAAGAAAGTTCTTCTTCTCTCTGACATTTGATGCATTAACAGAAACTCCCGGTGAGAGGAGACTCTCTCCACGCTGCTCCCTACAAGTACACAAACCTGTGCAGCTTTTAAAGACAACCTCCTTTTATCAGCCACACTCAGCTGGTCACACAGAAAGTTTCTGCTGATCCACAACAAACGACTTATAACGTGTCCATACTCTCTGATCAGAAGGATCGATTGAGTCTGAGGGTCAGTTACCATCCAACAGGATTAAAGATATCACAAAGGTTACATCAGTCCAGGTTGTTTCATACTGTGTCTAATTGAAAGCCTTTATTATCATGTTACAGGATACAACCACAGAAATATTAAAGGATGAAGTCTGAGTGGCATCCCCGTCTGTTCCTGCAGGGAGCGCTAGAGTCAGCAGGGCCTCTGACGTGGGAGCAGGAGTCAGCAGGGCCTCTGACGGGGGAGCAGGAGTCAGCAGGGCCTCTGACGAGAGCACAGGAGTCAGCAGGACCACTGACGAGGGTACCGAAGTGTGCGGGGCCTTCCACAGAGACACAGGAGTGGGCAGAACCTTCCACGCAGACACAGAGACAACAGCGTTTTTGCGAATCTTGTGTATGTGACTTCCTGTGTTCCTGGAGCCTCAAGCAGACACTCGACGACCTGCAGAATTTTACACTTCCACATCAAGACCAGAGGTTGCTGCTTTCATAAGAGAAGATACATGAAGAGCGCCTCTCCTGGTTGGTACATTGTTATAGAGCGTAACGTTTCCAAATCAAAAAGTCGATTTCTGATAGATGATGTTCCATCTCTCTCTCTCTCTCTCTCTCTCTCTCTCTGCAGCCGGGCTCAGAGCTCCTGAGTCCTCACAGCGAACAGAGACCCAGACATTAAGTTGACAGACGTCCCTCCTTAATTAGCTTTCTGATGTATCGCCTCATCACGCCGCCTCACGAGCGTTCAGAGACTTCTGGGAAAATAAATGTTTGCGACATCAGATTGGTCTGGTCATTAACAGCTGATGGATGAGCTCTTCACTCATCAGATGAGACGACACAACAGAGTCCCACAGAGGGGGGGAGACGACACAACAGAGTCCCACAGAGGGGGGGGAGGACAGATATTCATCTTCTTTAATGTGGAATACTTCCTGGTTTGAACACACATTTTAGAATAAGTGAAGTATCAAGAAGAAACATCTGAGGGGAAGAGGAGATAACGTTCTCCCTACACCTCAGAGCAACTAACCAAGTGATTAACTCTCCTGAACTTCATAAATATATTAACTAACTGAACTCACCAGAGACGTCACTCCCAAAGGTCGAACTCAAAGTCTCATGAGATTAAAGATACTAAACAGTATTCAACTACTGCCAGCACAGCGAACGTGCACAGTGAGCGTGCACACAGGAGCACCGGTTCCACAGACGGAGTTAAAAATCCTTTATTCAGCTTTTAAATACAAAACAGAAGACCTGCACGATTACTGTCATAAACACACACACAGTCACACACACACACACACACACACACACACACACACACACACACACACACACACACACACACACACACACACACACACACAAACCTCTCTGATATCTGAAGACTTCCCATCCTGACAGCGCTCCTTAAGACCGATGACTTATCGCCTCGTCTGAAGAATGAATGCTAACGGCGCTCCACTCAGCGCCAACTGCTGGATTTATCTGAACGGCCCACGACTAAATATTGATCCTGGTGATCATTCTTCACTTAAACTGTGTGTGTGTGTGTGTGTGTGTGTGTGTGTGTGTGTGTGTGTGTGTGTGTGTGTGTGTGTGTGTGTGTGTGTGTGTGTGTGTGTGTGTGTGTGTGTGAGTTATGGCTGCGAGTGTCAGAACTCTGAAGGTCGAGCTGTGAGTCAGAGCGGAGTGTTTTCAGGGCTGAACGCTCACAACGAGCGCTGGAATCGAACACAGTGTCGAGATCGTACGCTGGCTATCACAACCTCATCCGTCTCCTGCTGAACAGAACGCTAGCGAGGCCACGGGGACACTCTCTGCTGGACCCACATTAACCCTTTAGTTAACGACCTCTTCAAACTCCCTGAGGAGAACGCTGCTGTCTGCTTTAAATGACCAGCTTTTAGCGCGTGCTGATTTCACTCAGTGGTTCATACGGGACGTCCGTATCCACCGCCCTCAAGTGGCGTCCCGGGTTGGACTCCCGCCCACCACCATTCACCACGTTAACCCCCAGCTCCACAAAAACACAGTTAGTGGACACACGCCCGTATTGTATTTGATCACAGACGTTATCAAAGGTTTGTTTTAGGAGGAGGATGAATCACAAACAGAGAG